GTGACGGTATTTAATGGTTGCTTAAGAGCACTGAGTGTTGGTGTCATTTGTTACATAGCCTTACTAGCTAATACACTCAGTGACTGGAAGGTTTTGTAATTGAAGGAAGCAGCCCCAGCTTTCCAGGAAGCACTCAGTGTGAAGATAGCCTCCTGGCAGGGAGTGGAGGAGGAAGGCCATGATCGCCACAGCCCAGACCCCCTGTGTGTACACAGACAAGATCTTGACTGTGTCTGGTGGTGGACAAGGAACCCGGTCTTTTCACCAGCCGCCAGGACAAAGCTGGGCCAGAAGTTCATCGTGTGAAGTCACCAGATCATTTTGCTTTGCTTTGTTTTGTTTTGGCTGCGCGACTTGCAGGATCTTAGTTCCCCCGCCAGGGGTTGAACCCTGGCCCTTGGCAGTAAAAGCACGGAGTCCTAACCACTGGACTGGCAGGGAATTCTAGAGAAGTCACCCGACCTTAACCAAAGGCAGCCTGAATATGCCCGAACTTTGGTCTCATCCAGACACCGTTTAAGATCTAGAGACCCGGATCCGGCAATAGTTACATAAATGGTGGGATCTCTGTGTCATGCAGTCATTAAAGATTATGTTTTCGGGCTTCCCTGGTGGCACAGTGGTTGAGAGTCCGCCTGCCGATGCAGGGGACACGGATTCGTGCCCCGGTCCGGGAAGAGCCCACATGCCGCGGAGTGGCTGGGCCCGTGAGCCATGGCCGCTGAGCCTGCGTGTCCGGAGCCTGTGCTCCGCAACGGGAGAGGTCACAAAAGTAAACCGGCCCACAAAAAAAAAAAAAAAAAAAAAAAAAAGATTATGTTTTCGAGGAATAATCTAAATTAAAGACACAGGAAGATTCTCATAATGAAAAGCAGTGAACAGGGGCAGGGAATTAACCCCACATACATCTGGGTGCAGTGAAACCCTAACTGTGCTCACGCCTTAGGTGGTGGGATTTGGGCTGGTACTGTTTTTTTCTTCTTTAACTTTTCTGTATGTTGCAGATTTTTTAAAGGTGAAATGTAATACTCTTAGAATGAGAAAAACATGAGTATTATTTGTTTTAAAAAGCACCTAGTTATTTGCTATTTAATTTGTGAACTCTGGAGATCTCACAGGGGTTAACGTATCTCCGAGAACGCTTATCAAGACACAAAGGTCAGGACGTAGGTCCCTCCGAGCCCCCTTTCCTGAAGCTGTGGGCACGAGGAGGAGGCTTGGCCGCCCTCTTTGATCGCAGACTTCTGTTCCTGAGGTTGCACCAGCAGTTTCATTGGAAGCTGCAAGTTTAAAAATATCCGTATCAGGTGTATCTGCCCTGTCTCCCGCTCCGGATCCTAAGGTCCCCATGGTCCCTCCCCTCGGTTCCTCCCCTCCCCCACCCAGCTCTAGGGCTGGGCGGCCAGGGGTGCTATATTAGGAGCCAGCGCAGGGAGCAGAAATCACGTGGCTGGCCCTGAGCTCCCTGCAGGGAGGCCTGGCCCCCATCTTCTTCTTCTCGCTGCCAGGCCTCTCCTCTTGCCAACTGCATGCTAGGGACCTAAAACAGGACCTCTCCCCACACAGCCTGGGGACCCCCGAGGGCAGAAATGAATGGGCACCAGCCAGGGAAGCCACCGGGACAGGAGCCTCCGCCCGGGGGCACCACACAGTGCCCGGATCGGCTGAATGACGGGTTTCTCCCCAACCAAAGTGCTGCTGGCACAGACACCCTGCGGGCTCGGCTCTCAGAGCACCTCCTCCCAGGGCTGTTCTAGAATAATTCTTCTGGGGAAATTCCTTGAGTGTTGTTAGTCGACAGACGCTCCTGAAAGTTCACTCTGAGGCCAGTCCCCAAGCTGGCGTATTTATGAATGTTTGCTTAAGTTAAAGTCTAATTCATTCTCCCAGCGGCCCTGGGAGGGAGGCGCTGTCCTCCTCATTTGACCCGGGAGGGAACTGGGGCTCTGAGGGAGCTTGGCTTACTGGCCGGTGCTGCCCAAGCGTGGCTGGAGGATTTGACCTTTGTCTTTCTGGCTCTTGGCGACGTCGCTGCAGCTGCCGTAGTGGGTGGTGAGGCCCGGTGTCCAGCTGGGCCAGGATTCTGGGCTTGTTCTACCACTGCCCTTTGGTTCAATTCCATCAGCATTTTGTCCCCAAACCCTGGGACAAGGCACACCTACCCTCACCCAGCGAAAGGTGGCCGTTTTCCCAGTTCCTTCTTCAACCCCCCAACTCCTGTTTTCAAAACTGTTGGCTCAGAAGCGAAGAGGAGAAAGGCAGAAATTGAAGTGTGTTGTAGGGAAAGGAAATACTGGGAATAAATACGTGAGTTTTCCCAATGTGTCCGCAGCCTAGATGCAAGTACTGAAAACTCGCTGTGTGAGCGTCACCCTTTCTGTGCCTTGGTTCCCCTCACTGTAAAACCAGCCTGGGAATTATTGACAGTTTGGACCAGCTTATTCTTGGGGGTGGGGGAGGGCTGTCTTGTGCACTGCAGGGTGTTGAGCAGCCCTGGCCTCCAGCCACGGGACGCCAGTAGCATCCCCTCCCCTGCTGTGACAACCAGAAATGTCTCCAGACATTGGCAAATGTCCCCTGGGAGTAAAATCACACCCACTTGAGAACCACTGGGCTAGCGGTGTCTCCCTTTTGAGTTTGTTATGAAGATCCTCAAAAAATTTCCCTTCCTTCCTTTTATTTTCCCTTCCATCGCCCTCACCTCCTTCTTTGGACTTGATTCCTTTTCTATGATGAGCACATTGAATGAGATGATTCCTAAGACACCTGCCACTCCTGCTGGTCTTGATGTCCAGTGATCCTGCGATTCTTGTTTACGTCAAGGCTTGAGCTCAAGCCTGCTCCTCCAACCTAGGAAGGAGGTAGCATGGACCCATTTTACAGATGGGGCAGCCAGAGCAGAGAAGAGGTCCGACTTCAACTCTGGAGCTGGAGGAGGGGCTCTGGACACACAGAGGCTGATGCAGTCCCAGGCAAAGGGGTCAGTTTCAAGTAGGCAATCCCAAAAATGATCGGGGAGGGGAGGCAAAAGAGGGAGACGCCCAAAGACCCAGACCAGGAGCTGAGACTGACCAGCTGTGCCCCAAACTGTATTCCTTCCGTCCCTGGCTAGACTACACAGCCCGTCTCCCGGCTCTCAGGTGGGACCACGTCACTGAGCTCTGGCCAGTGGCATGTGCGCAGAAGGGGATGTCACAACTTCCTGGTCCATTAAAACCTCTCACAACACCCTCTACCCACAAGACCACCTGCTGTCCCCCTTCTCCATCTGCCCGCTGGATGTCAACGCCAAGGACAAGCTTAGACACCCATGTTGTGGATGGCAGAGCCTCCACGGCTGGTCTCTGAACCTCTGAATGACAGTGTGTATTCTGTACACAATGTACCCACCCCATGGATCGGACTCTCTGAGTGAAAAATAGTCTTCCATTGCACTAAGCCATTCTGCACTCGGGGTGGTTGGCGACGTCATTAGGCTACGCGGAGTGATATAGGTAAAGGGTAAAGTGAGGGCTGGAGGGGGCTCTGGGCCCTAGACCACCCACTTCCGAGTCGGTTCCCGTGGCTCTAACTCTGCCGGTTATGGAGACAGAGTTTTTCGTTGAACTGAAATGCGTGACCGCGTGAGCCCCGCGTCGGACGGAGGCCGTAGCGTGGCGCTGAATGCAGGCTGCACGGGAGTCCGCCCAGGACCACTGCAGAGCGTGTGCTGAGCCAGAGTCTCCTCAGGGCTAAAAATAACCAGTTCTGGCCCCTGGTGCCAACACCGAGTGTCGTGGCTCTGGGCTGGCAGAGCCGTGAGCCCGGAGCTTGGCAGGGGTCAGGGGGTGGGACAGGGTGGAGGTTCCCTGCCCGAGCACCGGGTGGCTCGGCGCCCCTGGGAACGTCAGTTTCCCCGGGTGCCTGTCTCAGGAAGAAAGGGGGTTAAAAAACCAGGGCTGAAAGTTCAGACAAGCCGGTTCCTGCAGCCACAAGGGCCGGGATGTGGGGACACTGGGCCCTCAGCCTCGCTCCCAAAGCCCTGGAAAGGCCTCCGTGACACCAGCGTTCTCCTGAAGGAAGCTCGAGAGTCCAGTGCATCTTGGCTCCAAGAGGACCAGAGAAGGCCACGGCTCTCAGGAAGAAAACTCACCGTCTCGGTCCTGAAAGAGAGCGGAACACGTCACTCACTGCATGTGAAGGTGCCCTGGGCTGCGGCTCCCGTGGGACCAGGGAAGGATGTGGATTATCCAGCCTCAAAGGCTGTCCAAGGGGTGGGTGGACGTATGGCCAGTGCCCACCTGCCAGAGTGAGCCTGGAGGGTTGCACCATGACTGGCGGGGGTCTGTGCAGTACCTTGATCGGAGGGGTCTCTCTGGTCCCCCTCCCCATCCCTGATTTCTCTCCTCCCGGTGGCTGGGAGCAGGGGCAGCCAGCTGCCATGCCTGGGATTGGGTGGCTCCGTGCCATTTGACCTCTGGTTGGAGCCGCATTCTCCCGTCCAGTTCCTCCAGGCACAGAAGCTCACACTCTGGGACAGGAATCCTCTATCTGCTTCTCATTCATTTTGGAATTGGGAGGGGAAGGAGGCTGCTTATGGGAATTTTTAGGAACCCACCAGGCAGCTTGGCGCCCCTGAGGCTACAGCTCTGTCCAGCCAGCGCCTGCCCTGCAAACTCTAAAGACAGGCCTGGCTTGCTCAGCTGCCCAGATGCTTCCCCCACACCGGGGGTGGCCTGTCCCTCTTCTGGCTCCTCTGTGAAAAGGCACCTCCATGGCATCACCCAGGAGCGTAAAGCCAGCTGGTGCTGCCAGGGAGGTGGCCAGTGACCCGGACAAAACCCAGAGAGGCTGGACTTGACCAGCACCGGGTCCGCTCTCCCCTCCCCTTCTTCTGGAGGGTCCCCAGCATCTCCTACACCTGAGGACACTAAGTGCCCACGAAGACTTGCAGGGACCTCCCCCCTCCCCTTTCCCACATCGAGAAGAGAACGTTTTAAAAATGTTTTTATTTAATTAAAAAAAAGACAGAACTAACAACCCAAAACCAGTAGTTGGTACGGGATTCACAGGGACTTAACTGGCGAGACACACAGGGGCGGGATGGAGAGGGCGTGGGGTCGGGGGAGTGTGAGGGCCACAGGCCACCCAGGGCCCCCGTGGGCGCAGGTCTCAGAGCGAGGGCAGGCGGGGAGGGGGTGACCAGAACCTGGGGCAACGGTGGGAGAAAGGCTGTGAAGACCACGGCGCTGAGGGAGCTCGGTCCCTGCTCTTCTGTCCCTCCTGTCGCTTCTTCTTTCTTGGTCCCGAAAGTGGGCCCTGCGCTCTCTTCCTGGGACTGGGCAAGAGGTAGGATTCATCGGAACGCAGCTTTCTCCACGAAATGACGGAAACTTCCAGGGCAGCAGGTGGGAAGGTGGCTTACGTGGAAGAAAGGACAAGGCTGCCTGTTTTTGGAAGTGACCTTGCTGGGGGATGAGTCTCCGGATTCCGCCCCCATCCTCTAGCCTGGTGCGATGGTGTCATGGCCTGGGGAGGGGGAGGGCGGGCAGGGGCAGGCCACGAGCCCGGACACTCCAGCACTCACTGCTGTACATGCTTGGACAAGCCACACAAAGCCAACCTCGACGGGAGGGAAGGGTTTCGAGCAGTGCGGAGGGGCCCCGGCACGCGGCCACTGGGGGCGGGACGTGTGGAGGTCCCCTCTGCGGACGGCGGAGGATGGCGACGACCATGACCCGGATCTGAACTCCTGGGGCCGAGTCCGCCCAGGGGGTCCACGAGCAGGTGGCTGAGGTAAGAATTTGCTTGTCACTTCTAAGTACGACAGCTACCGGGATCGCAGACAACTGCTTCAGAGGGATTACCAGGTCTCAAAAAGTAAGAAAGGATCTGTCTTCAGAAAGCACGTGTTTATATAAAAGAGGCTCAGCTCCGTGTTCCAGAAAGCTGTTCCCCTGAGCCCGGACACGCTTCCACATTCTCTGCTTGCCTCCGGAGGCGAGAAACGGTTGGAAAAACGTCAAGCTTGGAACCTGCCGCCTCCCTTCCCAGGTGCTCGGCCCTTTCATCCAAACTTCCTCGCTGAGTGCTTTCAGGGGCGGGGCGAGAGCAGAAGAAGTGACAGTAACGGGGGCTTGGGGCAGGGGCTGCTGCCACTTTTTAAGAGAGAATGAATGTAACTGCTCTCCTGGCGTTTCTGCAAGAAATCAGGATGAGTGACCACCCCGGAAACGGGGGTTTGTTCTGATCTTTTGGTCTCTGCTCACCCTCGGGTATCCCTTTCTTGCACAAGGTTCAGGCTCTTGTTGCCAAACACCCGGGGGGAAGGTCTGTCCCTATGACCCCCGAGGAGGGGCAGAGCTGCTCCTCAGGCCAGTGGGCAGAGGTGGGGGGACAAAGTAAAAGGCCACCCTTCCTCTGACCCGTGGAATCTTCCTGACTCTCAAGTACAGTCAGTGAGTTCTGCCCTTTCCATGTGAGGCAGAACATTCCAGAAGCAGAGAGGAGGAGCCTTTACCTCACGCCCAGGCCAGCAAAGACGCCCCCAAACCCCGCGGATTCCTCCGCAGGCCTCGATGTCCCCAGGCTGAGGGAAGCGGCCCCGGACAGCACAAAGGCCAGAGCACCAGGTGGTCACAGGCTCTCTCCTCAGCATCGGTGTTGTCTCAACAAGCAGCCACTGCCAGAGACAGACAGACAGAGGGAAAGGGGGCAAACTTCGGCTTCCTCGCCTGCGGCCCACAGACCAGAACCTTGGGTTCAAAAGCAGCTGCCCAGCATCCGAAGGCCCCTGCGGGCCCAGTGAAGCCGGGCAGGGATGGAAGGCCCCGAAAGCCTGTTCTTCCGGCAGAAGATGTGTTTCCAAGAGGAGATAATGGCTCGATTTTGTTTTCCCGGGTGGGGCAAGGCTGTGCAGCCTCAGGAGAGCTCTGGGGCCTCCTGGGAGATTTCGGAACCCCGGGGCATCAAAACACCCTCCTGGGGGATAAAATCAGCCTTCTTGCTTCTGATTCCCATCTCCGGGGCTTCTCTTCAAGCCAGCCCGCGACCCATTCTGGAGACCCGGGAGGGTGGGGTTTGGCCTCAGTCTGTTGTTGGTCTGTCTTAAGGGTCAGATGCCCCCTGTGGGGTCCAAGCCGCCCATCTGGGGAGAGGACGGGGCAGATCACACAGGGGTGGTCCGCCGGTTGAGCACGCTGATGTGCACGCCTCCTTTCAGGTCCTGCTGGAAGAAGTCGTGCACCTGCAGGAAGCCGGCCTCCTGGTCGGGGCTGTAGCTGGCAGCCGTGGTCACCTTGAGGGGCTCCCTGGACAGCGTGTACATGGACAGCTCGCCCATGGGAATGGCCCCGGCGATCTTCAGCCCCACTGGAGATGCGTCCCTGGACGGAGAGGCCTCGGTGGACCTGGAGCTGGACCGCGAGCGCCGCCGCCGGTACCGGTAGCTCGGCATCCTGGCGTAGGGTGACGAGGAGGGAGCCTTAAGGAACTCCCGTTTGGTCTTAAATCTCAACTCTTTGTTTTTCTCAATGTAAATGTTTACGGCCAGGACGCCCACGGTCTCAGCCACAATGAAAGACAGGGCTCCGAAGTAAAAAGACCAGCCGTAGTTGTAATGGTTTTTTTTGTCTTCGTCGCGCTTGTCGCTGGGGTCTCCCGTGTTGCTGGAAATGTAGACGATGATGCCAATGATGTTACTGAGGCCTGAAAGGGAAGCGGGGGTGGGGGGGCGGGGGGGCGGGGCGAACAAAGGCAGAGAGAGGTTAGACCCGCAGCTGGGCAAGGGCAGGTGGGCGGGGCAGGGGCTGGTGGGCGGAGCAGGAGCTGGTGGGTGGAGCAGGGGCTGGTGGGTCGGGCAGAGGACAGGTGGGTGGAGCAGGGGCTGCTGGGCAGGGGGGGCAGATGGGTGGAGTAGAAGGCAGTTGGTGGAGCAGGGGGCAGATGGGTGGGGCAGGGGATGGTGGCCACTCCCCTTTTTGGTGGGTATGTCTTTGTTCTGGTTGCTAATTTTAAGTAAAAGTAGTTGATTTTGAATGGGTAATAAAGTACAGAGTTTGGGTGAATATATAATAAAACACAGGCTCTTACTACCCAGTTCCCCTCCTCAGGCAGCTACTGTTATCTTCTCTCGTATATCCTTCTCATATCCATATCCAGTCTCTCTCCCTCCCTCCATCTCTCTCTCTCTCTCTCTCTCTCTCTTCCATTTTTTTCTTTGCACAATACTCTTTGGCCCCTTGCCTTTTCACTCAACTGTCTCCACCCGAGAGACAGTTCCCTATCAGGACAGGAAGAGCTGTCTCTGTCTTTCTAACTGCTCATGGCACCAACACCGCCGCAGGGGCATCTACCCAGGCCTCTGCTCTGGACACGCAGGTGGCTTCCAGCCCTCGGCTATGAGACAGCCTTATGTCTACATCATTCCACACACACATGAGTAAAACTGTGATGAATTCCTTGAAGTGAACCTGCTGCCTCACTGGGTGTGTGCATTTAAAAACAAACTTTTATTTGGGGGTAATTTTAGATTTATTGAAAAGGTGTGAAGTCAGTACAGAGAGAGCCCCTTTCCAACTCCCCGTTCCGTTTTCCCCCATTAACTTCCTATGTTACCATGTACATTTGTTACAACCAGGAAGCCCACCTGGTGTGCTACTATCCATTTACCTTCCAGACTTTCCTCGGATCTCACTGGGGTCTCCACTAATGTCCTTTTTCTGTCCCACGATCTCGAGTTGTGCGTAGTTGTGTTTGAATTCAGAGTCCCAGCTCAAGCACCCTCCATAGAGGCACAAAATGTCTCATCAGCCTATAATTCATTTGCCAGTCTGGGAGGTGAAACCCACGACTGTGCTTATGATTTTCTCTCGTTATAAGTGAGGATGAGCAGAGCCGAGCTGCCTGGGTTTGAATCTTGGTTCTACCAACTGTCATCTCTGGAACTTTATGCAAATTACTTACCTCTCAGGGTCCTCACATGCAAAGTGGGAATGCCAGTGGCACGCACTACGCTGGGTGGGTGTGTGGATTCAACGAGCTAATGCATACAAAGCACTGCGCCCAGCACACCGAGAGCATGCTTTGAGTTCTATTACAGTCTATTGTGTTTTATCGTAATGTGTCGTATCATCTATGCCCTGCCCGGGTCCTCTGTCCATCTTCCTACTGCACCAATCCCAGCGTGGATGGGTTAGAGTATTTCCTGCTAAGGGCTCAGCGATCCAGCTGTAGGTCTGGACTCCTCACCCCTTCCGCTGTGCTCCAGAAGAGCCCCCACTGACACGGGTTTTCACAATCACGGTTTGCTTCCTTCCGCCCCTCCTCCCCTGCCTGCTGGCTTTGTCTCTCCTTCCCCTATTCTGCACAAGCCATAAGAATGTAAATCACACCCCAACTGATTCCACGTTCCCAAAGAAGTTACGGGCGTCCTCTTCTGACTCTCCCAGCTTTTAGACCATACTTCTCCTGAGGCTCCAATCATTTTCCACCTAGAATTATTCACGGCCTGTCTCACCTCACTGCCGGGCCCTGCGCGTGACTCTGGGTCTGTGCTGCCTTGGCCCACGATCAGGGCTCCTTGATCCGGGGAATAAACGGGGACCAACGAACAGCCCCTTGCTTGCCTGCATGGCCATTGTGTTTCCTCGCTGCCACGTCCTCTCCTCTGTGGCTAGACCTGTGCTTTCAGCTGAGTGTCTCTGCGCCCCGGGCTCCACAGCCCCTCTGGAGACCCAGGGCATCTGGAGATGCCTTTGAGAAGGTTCCTCCGGGGGGAGCAGGCAGTGCAGGGGGCAGCACGCTTTAGAGGCTGACAGCCCTGGGCTCAGCCTGTCGTTGCCGCCGGGTGACTTCAGGGAAACCGCCTGGGCCACGTGACCACCTCCTCAGGAGCTGGGGTGATGGGGGTGCACTCGTGCAGCATTGGCACTGGTGTTAGTGGAAGTCTTCTTTCCTTCCTCGGGAAAGGAAAGGGGACAGGATTCAAACGCCACAGCAGGATTCAAGTCCACACCCTGAGCAATCTGCCTGCTTGGAGGAGGAGAGAGAATGGCGTGTGTCCCTGTCTTCCTGCCTTGCCCCCGTTCTGGGCTAAGGTGAGGAGAAGGGACAGGACAGGGACCTGGCCAGGAAGGAGCATCCTGCTTCTTCCTAAGGAGATCCTCCTTTCCAGCACACGCTCACAGTCACTCACGCACACACTCTCTCACACGCACACACACACACACACACTCTCCTCACTCACATGAATCCCCCGCAGATGCACACACACATATATTTACTGCACTGGAAGGAGACAAAGACTGAAGTGGGGCGGGAGAACAAGCGCAAGAATGGCAGCCAGGAGCCCTGAGATTCTGAGTCCGTCCCTGAGTGGCTGTGGCCCGCAGTTCCGCGATGCAAACGGCAGTCACCTTCCTTCTCCAAGAGGAGCCATGAGAAGAGATGGGGATGAGATGACCTCTGCGGACTTACATGGGCCGCGCACCTCGCAGGCCCCTTCCTGGGCCAGTGAAGGAAGCCCGGCCCGGTGACTGGGAGCCTCACTGTCACCCTCACGGTGCCACTGGGCTGATTCAGGGTTCAGAGACCAGGCACAGGGACGCTCGCTCCACTCAGCCTTACAGGTCCGGTGTGAGAAAAAGGCTCTTTGAAAGTGAGAACGCCATTAGGACCGTGCAAGGAGCTTTGATGACAATTCAGGAAAGGGCTGCGGGCGGAGCTCTGTGACATTTCTCACGCGGATTTACTGGAACGAGGCCTGGGAAGTCAGCTGCTCCAGCCCTGCTGCACCGTCATCTCCATCCCGCCGGGCTGCCCGGAGTCTTGAGGACGCCACTGTCCGAGCTTTGCCCCTCAGACGCCCCGCCAAGCCCCCAGCCCCAGCTACTCAGGCCACTGGATTCTCCCCTGGACCAGGCGTGAGCACTGACGCCCCTCCGGCCTGCAGCGCGCCGTCCGCGGCTAGGCTCAGAGGAGCGACCATGTTAGGCCATTTCGGACCCACTGGGCAGGGAGTGGGTTGCTCTCACCCACAGCTCTGGGGGGCGCAGAGGTGCTGTTGCCCGTCTCGGAGCCGGGAGACTCGGACAGTCAGGGTGGGCAGGTGGGGCTCCGCCCCACGCCCCCCTCGCTCACTCCGCCCCCAGGCACGCTGGGCTCCTGCCCCCTTGCCGGCCCTGTGCGCCTCCCCTTGTCTTCACCGGCTCAACTCCTTCAGGCCTTGGCTTCTGAGCGTCCCTCTGAGGCCCGCCCCGACCCCCAACTCTGCCAGGCTCCCCAGGAGGGGCTTGTAAGGCACCAGCGCTGCCCCTGTGGCCTTCTGCACACCTGGACTAGTTATTCTTATTTTTAATTGAGGTGAAATTCCCGTAACGTAAAATTAACCCTTTAAAGTGCACAATTTAGTGGCATTCAGTTCACGGTGTTGTGCAACCACCCCCTCTGCTCGTTCCAGAACATTCTCATCGCCCAGAAGGAGACCCCATACCTGTTAAGCAGCTGCTCCCCACTCCCTGCCCGGCGCCCCACACTTCGGACCTGCGTCACCCACGGCGATGTTATGACCTGCCCCCCGTCATCCCCACCGCACGCCGCAGACGAGCGCTCTGTGCAGCGGGGACCAGAGCGGACGGCTCACCTGCAGCCACAAAGAGGATGCCGGCGCTGAGGACGATGTTGTTCTTGCGGCTGTGGAGTCTCCCGGCGCCAAGGCAGAGCCCGCCGAGCAGCAGGAGGGCGGCGCTGAGGATGGGGAAGGCGCTGGAGGCGCGCACGAGGCCTGGCCGGCGGGAGACACAGAGAGGGCCGTGGGGCTGGCCATCCTCCCGGCCCGGCCACGGGCGTCGGCCCCGAGGCTCTCAAGGGCCTTCCGCTGACTTTGAAGATTCCCATCCCGCCCTGGAGACCCCAGGTGGGTAGGGAGCTGGGTGGGGGTGGGGCAGGGTGGAGGCCACCAAGTGATGGCCCCGGCCTGCTGGTCACTCCCCCTGGACGCCACATGGCCTGGAATCACATCTGCCCTCGTCTCAGACTCTCCCTGGATGTGGGCCCCACTTCTGCCAGCGGAGATCCCCTCAGCGCCACCAGGGAGGCCACAGCAACAGGCACGAAAACACTGTCAGACGGCCCGTCACAGCTCGCGGACATCGTCTCCGTGAAGCCTCCGGGATGCTGGAGAGTGGATCCGGATGGGCGGCCGAGGGCACGGGCTTTGCCTTTGGCGGGCCCGGGTACCCTGCTTTGTGACACGCTGGCTGTGTGGCCTTGGCCAAGGTGGGGCCTCCCTAACACTGGGTTTCCCTAGTAGTGGGATGCAGTTCATAACAGGCCTACGTCCAGGGTGGGTTCTGCACATCTAATAGGCTTATTTAGCAAAGGCCCTGCCCACAACACACACTCCTTAAGTGACAGCCTTGATCTCCCATTTCCGTCAACACCAGCGTCATCACCCCGGGAAGCTCCGGACCTCGTGAGGTCACCGAGGAGGGGGTGGCTGGACAGGGGAGCATGTCCATGGCCTGCGGGGTCCCACGGAGCTAGATCTGCAGCTGTGCACTGCCCAGCGGGGCGACCAGGGCAGCTAGCTTCAGACCACTTCACTCCCCTCTTTTACAACCTGGGGAGAGTAGTAATACCTACCTGTAGGGGTTGAATTGTGGCCTCCCAAAATCTATGTCCACATTCTAACTGCTGGTACCTATGAGTGTGACCAGGTTTGGAGAAAAGTCTTTGCAGCTGTAAGTTAAGGCTCTTGAGATGACACCGTCCTAGATCACGCTGGGCCCCAAGTCTAGTGACAGGCGCCCTAACATGAACAGGAAGCGACACAGCAGAAGAGCCCATGGGGAGAAGCCATGTGAGGATTGAGGCGGAGGAAAGGATGACACAGCTCAAGACAAGGATGCCGGGGCTGCCAGAGCTGGAAAAGGCAGGAAAGATTCTCTGCTAGAGGCTTTGGAGGGAGCACAGCCCTGGCAACGCCTGAGTGAAGACGTCTGGCCTCCACTCTGTGTGAGGGTACCTTTCTGCTGTTCTAAGCCCCCCAGTTTGTGGTAATTTATTACAGTGGCCTTAGGAAAAGAACACACTACCTGCAAGTGCTGTGATGAGAATCTGATGGAATAAGGTACATCAGGCACTTAGTGCGGGTCCCCCTCCCTGAGCATCTGGCTGGGAGAGGAGGCGGGAGGAAGGGAAGGGGTACGTGAGCAGAACCCCGAGCTCGGCCTCCCAGCCCAGGAGAAATCCCGGCTCCGTGGACCTGGGGGCCGCCAGGGGACAGTGAGCTGGGGGCACCGGCAGGCCCCCCTCCTGAGCCAGCTGAGCTCGTTTGTGGCCTTTCAGCCTCTGAAGGCAGCGTTTGTCTCCCTGCTTGTAAGCCCGCCAGTGTGTGCCCTGCTGCACAGAGAGCGGCTTGTCTGGGGCAGTAAATGAAGCTCTTCTCTCCACCTCCCCCTCCTTCTCCCTCTGCCTTCTCACAGCCGCAGGTTTCGGGAGGAGGTTTCCTGTGGGCTTTTGAAATGCGCCTCTGATCCGTGCGGGGCTGGCAAAGGGGGACCGGGTCCCCCTCGATACCCTCGTTCTGCAGGTGGGTCAGAGGGGTTGCAGCGAGGGAAGCCTGGAGCCTCTAACATCTCCGAGTTCGGGCCTGGCCCAGAGCCGTCCATCCTGCCCGCGTAAGTCACGTGAGCACCGTCCTTTGCCACGTGGGCTCACCCGGAGCTCTAGACGTACAGGCACCAACCGCGGTGCAGGCTGGGTCTTGCACAGAGCGGGGCCGATGTCCAGCCCACGGCCCTGTGGCTACATCGAGCCCTGGCAAGGATCTGTGTTTTTGCCCAGAGGGCGGGCATCTCCTCCTCACTCGCCCTCAGGCTCGCCGTGGGCTCTCAGCAGCCCTGACACCAGCACTCTGGGGTTAGCACAGAAACCATGCGCCCAACCCGAAATGCGGAGCCTGGAGAAGGGGCACCAGGCCCAGGGCAAGAGGGACGGGAAGCCCTGAGGCCAGCGGGCTCAAGAGAGAGAAACGGCAGGGAATCAGGGAAACTCAGGCCGGATGGCCGTGGCGACCGTGGCCTTGTTCTGTCCTGGAATGTTGCCCACTCCCTCTGGCTCCCAGCTCACAGGCACCTGCACTCTGGGGCTCGATTTCAGGGCCAATTCTCGCTGTTTCTGCAGCCCCTGAGTGGAAAACCACTTCCCTGATGGAGAGTCAGCTCTGCCTTCCCCCCCAGCAGCCGAGATCACAGGCCCCAAAGCCATCACCCCTTCTCTTCCTTGGGCTCCTGAGTGAACCCCGCTGGCTCCCCACGGTGCACAAATGAGGAAACATTTCCTTCCCAAATGAGCTTTGATGGCTGATGTGCAGTTGCCATCATTCTATTTGGGAAAATCGCTGCTGGGGCCCTCCCAGCCCTCACGCCCTGCCCCGGGGCACCGCTGGTGGGGTTTGAGGACAGCAGGAGCCTGAAGCTGGATTGGTGAGCGTGCAGCACATGCTCGGTTTGCCCCTCCTGGCCCTGGGACCACCTCTCTCCGTCCTGCTCTGGGCCCTGGGAGGCTGACGCCAGGGACCGGCTCATCGGGGTCCCTCGACTCCGGCTTTGGGAGGAGAGTGCAGGGGAGACGGTTATTCCCCTGGCTTCCTTCCTGCAAATGAGGACGAGGATAAGGTGGCTGCGCTCTGTCATAAAGGCCACAGCCCCTGCCAGGAGGCCTGTCCTTACAGCTTCCCTGGTGCAAGCGTCCATACCTGCCTCTCCCACCTGTTCAGGCCGAGGGCTGTAAGGGGTCCTTCTGTTGCTAGCCGCGGTGTGTTCACTGCCCCTTGTAAGTTTCCCTTAGCCCCGCCCACAGCTCTGTAATTAGTCCTTCACTAAATGCCCTTCCTTCATCCCATCCGAGCGTCCCCTCTGCTTCCTGCTGGGACCCCAGGAAGCCGCATCGTCTGACCTCTGGGCTGATGTGCCATGAGGCCCATCCAGAAAGAGATCCCAGCGCTCTGGGGACCATGAAGGGGAAGGGCAGGGGAGTAAAGAGGCAGAGCCCGCGCCGATTAACCTTAGGCAAGTTCATGTGGGAAGTGGGGAGGGAATGGCGTGTTCCTCTAGGAGCTGCTTCCGCACAGTCCCAAGGTGGCCAGGTTAGCAAATCTGCCCTCAGAGCCTCAGGGACCATCTGACTGCCCTGGGCCGGCAAACAAGGGGAGGTCCTGTGTCAGGGCTGGCTTTCACCAGCAGCCGCCCCAGATGGCTGTGCAGGCCACGCACCATGCAACTCACAGAGTGTAATGTATACGCTAGTCTATGCAAATGACATCCCTTGAGTTGTGCAGTGTGCAACCTGCACAACCATCTGTGGCGGCCCTATGGACTATCATTTGCTGGGTTCAGTGGTGGCCCGCAGAAAGCAGAGAGTACAGGCGTGAGGAAGGGGAGAAGGTGAGGGAGGAGGGATGGGAGGCAGATCTGGCTACATTATTCCAGGTTCCGGGCCTGACGCTGCCCCAGGCTGCAGGGGAACCGCACGCTGTTCTATTTCACTAGATGACTCAGAACCAAAATCCTTTCTCTTAGAAAAGAACGATCCATAAGCAGGTGCAGAGTGAAGCGTGCTCCCTCTGAGCACACTGGTATCGATTCTCCATAAATGAAGCTGGCCTGAGCCCCTAGGGGAGCCGCTGGGAGCAGCTCTGCCTGCGTCTTGGCTAATGCAAAAGGGGAAAATGACTTCAAAACGGTGCCGTTTTTTCCATTTCCAGGTTCCTCCCCAGGCTGAGGCTCCATCCTTTCTCCCAGGGAGGTGCCCACGGACGAGATCTGGATTTAGGGTGCGGGACAGGGTTTGTCCTTGGAGTTCCGGGTTCCAGTCCGGGGGCCAGCCCCACTGCAGGACCCGGGCAGGGGCAGCTCATGGGCTCTACCAGTCTGTGCCGGAGACACTCAGGGCCACATACCCGAGGCTGGTCCCACCACTGTCCTCACGTTCTCCCACAGGCTGCCTGGCACCCAATGGCTGTTTCAGCGCGTGACTTAATCTGATTTTTCAAGACTAGAATGCTGGGTGGGGGTGGGGGGGGTGGGCAGGTCCAGGGCTGGCCGGGCTGTGTGCTTGGGGTGGCACAGCCCCCAGGATGCCGGGCCCGGGCAAGCCTACGTCCTGACCTCTGGACCGGACACAGCAATCAGTTCCTCTGAAGACAGCGGCCCTGGGGAGCAGGGATTCCCCCACCCTGCTCCATCTTCCCGGGCCGCACCCGGGCGTGGTCCTATCAGCCAAGCAACTCCCCCGGGACACCCAGCACATCACGGCAACCTTGAACGACACTCCATCCTCCGAGCTAACGATTCGGAATCAGAAAGGGAGTGAGGGCAGCACCCGGGGACCAGCCCCCTCCGCCCCCACGGGGCCCACCTTCCTCCCCCGCAGCCAGCTGCCCACCACCGGCCCCCGCTCCACCCACAGAGGAAGCGAAGGACCCTCGGCACTCACGCAGGAGGTACTCGGAGCTGTCGTGGTCGTAACCGTTGTCCTCTGGGAAGTGGTTGATGCGGAAGCAGTGCCCTTTATAGACCCCTGCAGGGAGCGAGGGGAAGAACGGTGTAAATGTTCCGTGGGCTCCACGTCCTTTCTCCCCAGACTCGCTGGCCGGGTGTGCCTGGCTCTGGGCGTGGAGGGCACAGAGAAGGACCGCCCAGCGGGGGACGCGCCCCAGGCTGACCGCGTCATTACGGTCCACGTCTGGACACCCGCGAGAGGGAGGGGCACCAGGACACAGGGACAAGAGGCCTCAAGCAGAGCATCCTGGGCCAGCAGGGCCCAAGGGGACTGCGGAGCCAAGGCTTGAAAGGTGACAAAGACCTTCCCAGCGGGATGGGGGAGGGGCCGGCCAGGCAGAGGCGGGGCTGTGAAGAGGCAGGGCTGGGGCCGGCGGTGTGTCTGGGGAGGGTGGGAAGTCCAGTGCAGCCAGAGGTGAGAAGGACACGTGCAGGGAGAGGGGCTGTGGGCCAGGATGCGATCTGCCGCCCACCTCCCTGCAGCAGTGTCTGTCTGTCTGTCTGTCTTCCCCTCTCCCTCGAGCACACAGTTATGGTGAATCCCTCCTACGTTACAGGCCGAATCTGCACACGGTCGGCAACATGACTGTAATCCCCTCACTCGGTGTGATAGAAGGAAGAGAAACTCCCGGAAAGGCCCAGGCCCTCTCCTGCCTGGTCTCCCTCCCCGCTCGGAGAAGTGGCCTTCACAGGATACCCTGAGTAGTTTAGTGACGGCAGGAGGACCGCCCAGCCCTCCCTTCTGGAATCTTCTGCCAGCTCTCCCAGCGCCTGCTCCCCTGCAGTGTGGGCGTGCGCAGTGCAGAAGTGGACGCGGGTCGGGGGACACAGGGTGCCGGGCTCTGTCCTGCCAGCCCCCGCACGCCCAGGCCGGGCCCCTGGCCCTACAAGGAGCTCGTCCTGGCCCCCACGCGGGCCCGCCTGCTTTCAGCTGGAGGCCGTCCTCGTTTTGCAGCTGCTGCTCAGCGGCTCGCTGACCCTCCCACATCCCGGCCAGACCTCCTGGTCGGGCGCACGGTGCAGGCAGCAGGGCCCGCGCCAGGCCAGCCTCCGTCCCCGTCCCTTCCATGGAGAAGGGCCTCGACGAGCTTGAGGGCACCTTCAGCGCCTCCCGTTTACCAGTCAGCTGCCCCCCAGCCTCCCCTCAGCTAGGCCCATGAGCTGCTGCCTTCAGAGAGCTCAGGGGCTGGTCTCCAGGCCACTGCTGGGCAGGCTGGGTTTGGTTAGGGACAGTGGGGGACAGTCTGAGGGTGTCAGAGGTGGCGCCTTGAGTGGGGTACGCTTCCACAGTGTCGTCTGAGCCGGGTCAAGCGTGAGCGTTTTAGGTACCTGCCTCAGTCTCCTGCTCTGGAGAATGGGGACAACCACAGGCCTCATCTAGGGATCTCAGGAGAGTCATGTGAGACGATACTGAAAGGCACTTCGACGATTCTTGGCCTGCGCTGATGGCTCAGGGGAGATTTGCTGCTTTGGGACCCAGATATCACCCACCCTTTGCTCCGTGGCTCTTACTCTTTGGTGGAGAGCCATGAGTACCTGTGAGCGAGAGGAAGGAGCCCCAGGGCAGGCTGGTGTCAGGGTGGCCAGCGCGGGGCTGCACCCCAGATTCAGGAGTTTCGTGGAATGCCGAGCAAGCGTCTTCCAGGCGTGGGTGGGCGAGGTAGGGCCCTCTGCCCTCCTTCCCTCTCCCCCTGCACACTTTTGGGGGTACTTTATGGGCCTAAACAAAATCACCAAGTCCCCCACGCTTGTGGGAACAGTCAAACATTAAGAGGCTGAACAAGAAGTAAATAATCTGTCTTCAGAGTTGATTTCCAGGGGTCAACAGTCGGCTGTGCGTCTTCCCACGTGTGCACATGTGTGAGGCTCCCCCTGTTTTTTAAAAATTAATCTTAATATAGTAGATGGGTGAAAATAAGGTGCAATTATACCCCAATAAAGATGTTAAAAAAATAAAAATAAAAAAAAAATAAAAATTAATCTTTTTCCTTGGAGGTAATTGCAGACTCACACGCAGTTGTGAGAAACACTGCAGGGAGATCCCATGTTCCTTCCACCAGGTTTCTCCAGTGAGAACATCCCAGCCAGGATCCTGACATTGCTACAGTCAGGAACATTCTGCCACCTGGAGGACCCCTCGTGTTGCCCTTTTATAGCCACACCCACCTCGTCCCGGTGCCCAGGCTCTGACCCCGACGCAGGGCAACCACTAAGATGATCTCCTTTTGCACAGTTTTGTCATTTCCAGAAGGTTCTATAAGTGGAATCTTACAGCGTGTGACCTGTCGGGCCTGGCTCTCTCACTCAGCGTAATTCTCTCGAGATTCACCGAGTTGTGGTATCGATAGTTTGCTCCTTTTGACTGCTGAGCGATATTCCACAGCACGGATGTACTACAGCTCATGACAGCTGGATTTGCGCCCAGCTATTGCACCTGTGGTTTCCAGCTATTTCCAATAACGCTGCTATGAACAGGTTTGGGGATGAACCTAACTCTTCATTTCTCTGGGCTAAATGCCCAGGAGAGTAATTGCTGGGTGACGTGACAGCTGCGTGTTTGTTATAAGGGACAGCCAAGCTGGTTTCCAGGATGGTTATATCCCTTATTTTGCAAAAGGAATAATACAATACACTTTACCCTGCAAACTACTTTTTTCATGTAATAATGTATACACACTTCTCCAGGTCAATACCTATAGATTTTAAAAACTTGTTTGTTTTTTTTTTTGTTTGTTTGTTTGTTTTTGCTATACGCGGGCCTCTCACTGTTGTGGCCTCTCCCGTTGTGGAGCACAGGCTCCGGACGAGCAGGCTCAGTGGCCATGGCTCACGGGCCCAGCCGCTCCACGGCATGTGGGATCTTCCCGGACCAGGGCACGAACCCGCGTCCCCTGCATCGGCAGGCGGACTCTCAACCACTGCGCCACCAGGGAAGCCCAAAACTTGTTTGTTTTTAATAAAAAAAAAATAATAAGTTGATACTAATCCAAAAGTTGCTGACAGCCTTAGAAGGCAATAGCACAGGGACCAGGGCAGCGAAGGCAACGGCACGGGGACCAGGGCAGCGAAGGCAACAGCACGGGGACCAGGGCAGTGAAGGCAACAGCACAGGGACCAGGGCAGCGAAGGCAACAGCACGGGGACCAGGGCAGTGAAGGCAACGGCACGGGGACCAGGGAAGTGAAGGCAACAGCACAGGGACCAGGGCAGCGAAGGCAACAGCACGGGGACCAGGGCAGCGAAGGCAAGCACGGGGACCAGGGCAGCGAAGGCAACAGCACGGGGACCAGGGCAGTGAAGGCAACAGCACAGGGACCAGGGCAGCGAAGGCAACAGCACGGGGACCAGGGCAGTGAAGGCAACGGCACGGGGACCAGGGAAGTGAAGGCAACAGCACAGGGACCAGGGCAGCGAAGGCAACAGCACGGGGACCAGGGCAGCGAAGGCAACAGCACGGGGACCAGGGCAGCGAAGGCAACAGCACGGGGACCCCCAGGGCAGCGAAGGCAACAGCACGGGGACCCCCAGGGCAGTGAAGGCAACAGCACGGGGACCCCCAGGGCCGCGAAGGTTTTGCTGCACCACTGATGATGCTAAAACGATGCTTCGCCAGAAGCCGCATGTTTACATATTCGATCGGAAAAGAAAGCAGGTTCTGAAACTAGCTTGCATGTAGACACGTTAGTTCCAAATGCCCTTCCAATGTATTTTGCGAACCTCCACTCTGCATTTAGGGTGATAGTTTCTATTTGATAGAAACTGTAAATAGGGATCACACTGCCCAACATATTAACAGATTTCCTGACACATTCTTTTCAGTGGCTGCGTAACGATGCGCAGTCCAACTATACGATAGGAAGAGACATTTCCCTTTCTTGGGGCCGTGTGTACACACGACGGATCCCGCCGCAGGGCGTTCTGCTCTGAGCGTGCTGATAGCGCGCTCTCCCGCGTCCCCCCCGCCCCTCCTCTCCTCTCCTAACTTCTCTCCACTCCTTCTCCACACCAAGCTCCTGTGCACAGACTGAAGGAACAAGCATTGCCTTGGGTTAAACTGTTTCCCCCCTGCACACACACCCTGCAACACCCCCCCAGAAAACTCATGTTGGAGTCCTGACCCCTGGTCCCTGTGAATGGGACCTCATTTGGAAACAGGATCTTGAAGATGGAATCAAGTTAAGATGAGGCCACACTAACTTAGGGTGGCCCTAAATCCAATGACTGGTGTCCCTATAGGAAGAGGGAAACCTGGACCCAAGGGAAAAGGCCGTGTGAAGACAGAGGCAGAGGTTGGAGTGATGCGTCTACACGCCGGGAGATGGCAGGGATCGCGGGCAACCAGCCAGAGCTAGGAAGAGGCAAGGAAGGAACAACGTACCCAGAGTCTCAGAGAGGGCAGGGCCCTGCCGACACCCTGATTGCGGACTTCGGGCCTCCAGAACTGTGCAACAACCGTATTCTGTTGTTCCAAACCTCCTGGTTCGTGATGGTCTGTTCCAACAGCCCCAGGACGCTGACACAGGAGCGCTGCTGTGTGAGAGGAAATGCAACACGCCTCGTTCGCTCACTGGGGGCCAGCCTTGCAGGAAGGCAAACAGATGTGTTGGCCCTTCCTGCTCCTCTGTCAGTGGCAGGGGCCCACACGCAATGTTTGGGAAGCTGCGTGTACTGCATCCGCAGAAGCATCTTCCTGTTGCAACGAGACACGTGCAGTCTCTCAGGCTCACGCTTCCAAAGCCCCTGGAGCAGGTTCCCCACCAGGGACTCGAATCCTCTCCCTGTCCCCTCCAGCTAGCGACAGGGACCTCGCCACCTCCCAAGGCATATTCTGTTTCCAAACAGCTTTAACTTCAAGTTCCTGAGAGGTTGTCCGCCTCCACAAAACCCTATCCACGGGTATTACTTATAATCCCTGGGAATAAAAGAACCCATCCTCTGTCGTGCATCAACCCTTCAAGCCACTGAAGAGAGGAACTGTATCCAACAGGATGAAGGACAAGCTAGTTTTCCAGCCATCCAGGGTTTGCACAAAAAGGGAGGCCCAAGGTCGAGGACGAGAGGAGGCTGGCAAGTTGCCAACAGTCGGGACCAGACGCGTCCCCCGGCCCCAGTCTGAACAAGTGGGGTCTGCGGAGGAGTGGGGCACCTCGAGTAGAGAACGTGGGTGTGTCCCCTAAACGAGCATCCTCTCTAGGTCAACTATCCCCATTTACTTTATTTATTTATTTATTTATTTATTGCAGTACGCGGGCCTCTCACTGTTGTGGCCTCTCCCGTTGCGGAGCACAGGCTCCAGACGCGCAGGCTCAGTGGCCATGGCTCACGGGCCCAGCCGCTCCACGGCACGTGGGATCTTCCCGGACCGGGACACGAACCCGTGTCCCCTGCATCGGCAGGCGGACTCTCAACCACTGCGCCACCAGGGAAGGCCTCCCCATTTACTTCAGCCGTTTCTTTATTGATGCTTCCAAGACCCTTGTCCAGCCCTGTCCCCTGCCCTGGGTCCGCCTAGGAGCACAGCCCTGCCTCTCCTCTTCTCGGGATCCTGTGCTTCTGTTCTCGGGACCTGCTCTTGCTGGACTCAGCCTCCCAGGATTTTTTCATGAGAGCGGCCTCACCTCCCCCAACCTGTTTTTGTCGAGTGGAGTGTTTAGTCCGAAGGACTTCACATCTATCCCTGTCAAATTTAATTTTGTGAGTGTTGGCCTCAAGGCATTTAATAGGGGAGAAAATTAATGGCTGATGTGAGCAGCAAGAGAGAGCGCCATTTCCAATCCATTGCACACGTGCTCTCTTGGTAATTGGGCCACTTGCTGCGTTATCTGCTAAGTGATGAGCTTCGTTGGCTAATTGTGAGATCCCAGATGGACCACACCGCGGGAATACCGCAGCGCTCCCGGGGTCGTGGCCTGTGCTCCCGGGGACACGGCGGTCCTCTCCCTTTGCGGGTCAGGGAACCACTGTGTGAAGAGGCTTCTTGAGACACATGGCCCCAGACGCGTTACTTCTTCATCTGTTAAAGCTCGGGAACTGGGTCCAAAGGAGTCCCTCCTGCTCTAAGATTCTAGGACCATTTTGTGGGCAGATGTTAACATATCCATTCATCTACATACATCATACTAGAGGTATTTCTCTAAGCCTAGGAAACATCTGGAAAGAAATATCCTAAAAGGTGTCCACTGTTTCATTTCTCGGTGAATTCAGATTTTCCTCTTTACATTTTCTCTGTAATTTCTAAATTTTCTACAGTGTCTGAAAATGAACCAATGAGGTTTATCGAAAGAAAGAAAAGAAACCGGATCTTTGACTCCAGGGAAAACGTGGCGCTGTGTCTGAAGTGACCGCAGGGCCGCCCAGATGTGGAGGCTGGTGAGTGGCGGGTGACCCGTCGGGGGGACATGTGTGTGGGTGACCTTTGGCCCCCGTGGGTGAATATCCCCACTGCTTGCCTCTGGGCAGTGATGGTTGTGCCCTGGGGTTACGCCCTGGTAGACCGCGAGGACTCAGGCGGTGACGGGCATGTAGGACTTTCAGTGCTAAACCCAGGAAAGTCGTAGGCAAACCGGGACGAGCTGGTTACCCTGCGAGTCATTTCAGGGTGTGACATAAGCCTCCATAACAGGCCACCTCAGAGGTCGGTCGCCATTAGGGGAGCGCTGGAGCAAAGGATGTTAGACGGTGACTTGCTAAGAATGGTGTCTTTGTGTAATCCCTTACGGCGGCTGGCAGAGCGCTTCCACAGGCACGACCTTGCCTGTTCCTCACAGACGCTGAAGCAGCGCTGGCCCCGGCTGAGCGTGCATGGGCCCCCTGGGGCCCACCCCTCACGTCTCTGCCCGCCTTTACTCCAGCCCCTCAGAGCAGCAACCAGCTCCCTGGGGTGTCGCCTGCCGGAACCTCGATTCAGCCGCTCCAGTTGCTCCTTCCTTTTTGGCCCGCGGCACTGGGTAGGTCGCCCGGGGCAACTGCACACACACACTCACTCGCTTGTGGAGCTGGAGGTTTGGGGGCGAGGCCCCCGGCCCCGGGGTGACCTTGGTGCAGGAGGATGGCGGCCGGTGGATAGGCGTTCACATTCTACCTGCTTCTGGGGGTGGGTCCCAGCAGGACCAAACCAGTGATGGTCAGCTCAGGGCTGCCCCTCACACTGCCTTTCCCTCTACCTGGGTTCCCTCTCCCACCCTCCCACAGGCCCGCTCCCCAGGATGGCCACCCGGGACACCCTGCCTGCACACAGGCCCTGGCTTGGGCTTAGATGAAAGCTGGCCCATCAGCCCATCTCATCTTTGTAAAAACACACCTTTGAAGATGCAAGAAAGAGGTGTAGAGATGTCACAAGCCCTGCTTTCCCAAGCCCTGGGGCAGAGGCCCAGCTCTGAGCACTAGGCCCTACCTTAGGCCGTAAAGGAGACGTCTCCGCCTCGTCTTAGAGAAGAGGAGGCTCGGGGCACCCATGGCAGAGCAGCTGCTGGAATCCGGCTCCTGACGTCTCACCACGTGTTCTTCCCAAGCGCCCGATGCCCACGCCCTTCCAGGAATCCTCGCGAGTGCCAGAAAGGTCTCTGATGCAGTGTGGGTCCTCCCCAGATACATCAGGGAGTGAAGCCAGGTAACAACTGCGAGTGCTGGGTTAGCTTTAAGGCAACCGCTTCCCCGACAGTGAAGCAGGAGGCAACTGGCGTCCCCAGACTTTGGAAGCGGCAGCTCTGGGCGGCAGGGCGGGCGGAGGCCTGGTCGGCAAGGCCCCTTTGGGCTCCAGGACGGGTGAACGAACGTGAGTCGAGTTGGCCCCCTGTATGGGTTTCCAGCTGTGCCGTTTCAGGGGGAGATACGGTCGGACAGCAGGGGAGGGATGTGAGGCATTTTCGATCCTGGGCTCTTGTCCCGGAGTTGAGGCCGAGCTCAAAGCCGAGGTCGGGGCTCCGGTGTGAGGCCCGCGTCCGGGAACAGGTACTTCTGCAGCATGGGGTGTGGGGAGTGCTCAACTCGTGACCTCAGAACATCCCTGTCATCCCCGGTCAACAGAGGAATGGGAAAGCCCAGACGAGGCCCGGCTGCTGGTGAAGGCCACCCAGACCGGAGGAGGAGGTAAGGGTGAGAACCCCGTGTGGACCAAGCGTTCCAGCAGCCTTGTTCGAATCATCTTATGTGTGGGAAATAATCAAACTACATGAAGTATTCTAAGTAGCTATCAGTTTGGACTTTATAATAATTCGAGGTGGCCGTGCCCTAACTGGTCCAGATCAGGGAGGTCTCACTGGACCCGAGTCAGACTGTCCGTACCAGCTGCAGCCCTGGTCCAAGGCCAGACGGACCAAGTCCGTGTCTCAGGTGGGCCGTGGGAGGAGCTCAGAGCCCGCCTGGGCCTGCACTCCTCCCGTGTTTCCCCAAAGCTGCCCGGCCCCTGACCCTAAGCCCCCATGGGGACAGCCCGGCAGGCCTGGAGGCCTGTGTGTCTCCAGGAGGGCACAGGCCTTCCAGGAAGGACCCAGGGCTCTGTGGAGGAGGTGGGGGGCTGAGGGGTACAGGGCTGGGCTGACGGGAGAGGAGGGGAAGGGACAGTGTTATCCTCAGGGTAAGAATAACATCAAGAGTTCACTTAGCACCTGTATGGCCAGGCACTGTTTAAGCACCTGACATCTGTTAACTCACTTGGTCTTCATACTAACCCTGTGACACAGAGACGATTACTGACACCATTTGCTACCAAGTGCCCGAGCCAGGATTCGAACCGGGGCCGCCCGCCCAGCTCCAGAGTCCGGGCCCTGACCCTCCCACACTCGGGAGGCAGAAGGGCATGGCGTGGCCTCAGGGCTACGGGTAGTTCTGATTGGCTGCAGCGTGACTGGGAAACATGGGTCCTCGACACTCTTCATTGGTGGGAAACCTGTTCTTCCAGAGTCTTGGGCTAAGGGCACTGGCTCAGGTTCGAGGCTGGGTTACCCTGCACTGGAAGTGGCGGTTCTCCAGAGCGGGACCCTCCGGTCAGGGCAGAGGTCAGGGAGAGGTGGAGGAGGGTGCGAGGGCACAGCTTGGCTATGGTGGCAGCTCGGGGTTTCCCAGAGGTGCTGATCTGTACAGAGGGGCGCTACTGGGCTCCGTATACGCAAAAGGGCAGAAGCGGACAGGCAGGCCGGCCTCATGTTCTGGAACCCTGGGTGGCCTGGCCTGCGGGGACAGCGGCCATGGGGATGCAGCGGCAGAAGAGGCCGGGGTGCGGTGGAGGTCCCGCAGGGAGGCCGTGGAGATGGGACCTAACCGCACAGCCGCCACGAGGGCGACGGGGTGGGAAGGCTTGAGGGGCAGCCTCTCCTGAAGGGAGCTGCCTGGGTGAGGGCGGCAGGCAGGCGCGAGAGGAAAGGGCAGCCCGGGACAACGGCGAGCCGTGCGCTGTCTGGGGGAGACCCTGGCTCCTGGTCTTAGATGTGTCTGCAGACGAGGGACCGGAGCCCAGGATGGAAGTGACCTCGACCATTCCAGCACAGACAGGCAGGGTGGCTGTCGTTACAAAGCGCCACAGACGCATCCACAGCCTCGCGGTTCTGGAGGCCAGAAGTCCTAGAAGGAGGCGCGGGCAGAGGCGGTGCCTTCCCAGGGCTCTCTGGGGCATCCTCTGCACCACTGCCCGTCCTGAGCTCCTAGGGGCTCGCTGTCTACCGCTGGCACCCCTGGGCTTGTAGAAGCATCACCTTGATCTCTGCCTTCACCTGCACAGTGTTCTCCCTGTACGCCTGTCTGTCTCCAAATTCCCCCTTTTCACAAGGACACCACTCATATATGACCAGGACCCATGCTCATGACCTCATTTTAACTTGATTAGCCTCTATAAAGACCCTATTTCCAAACACAGTCACACCCCGAGGTACTAGGGTTAGGACTGCCACATACGAATTTGGAGGGGCTCAACTTGGCCTGTGACACCGGCTCAGGGGCAGACGCGACTGGCCAGGCGTCTGTGCCCCCAGCTGCCACCACAAAGCCAGGCTCCATGCCTCCCCGGCCCCGCCCCACCTCCAGCTCCCTGTAATTCCCCCTCTGAACACCCCCTCATCATCTCTCCGCTTCCATGCTTATCTCCAAAGAACCTCCTAATAACTGTGATTTCCCGGCTGGCACACGCTGGTGTTCTCCGGAGGGCTGGCCTCTCTCCAGCTGTAAGGCGGCAGGCTGTGGGAAGCCTCTCCCCCGGGCTCCTGCAGAGAACTGCCAGGCTTGGAGTGGCAGCGAGGGCTGGGCTGGACTTTCCTGGCGGAGCCTTAGCTCCCTGGCTTGCAAGTGACCCTGTGAGACCCTGTTAAGCATTATGACCTTATGCATTATGAAGTTCCTCCATCCAGCTTACATTTTTGAGCACCTGCTGAGTGCTAGATGCTGGGGACCCAGGTGTGGCAGAGGACCTGCTCACCCCTCTTCTTCCTGGACTCAGGGCTACACTGGATCTCTCAGCCTCCTTTGCAGGTAGATGGGCCATGGGACCCAGCTGGCCAATGGGAAGTGGGCGGAAGTGATAGGCGTCCTTCCTGGACAGGTGGGTGCACCTCTCCCTCTCCACGGCCTCCCCTGCCAGCTCAGGGGGTGGTGGAGCCACAAGACGGGCACAGCCCGGGTCCCTGAATCCTTTGTGGAGGAGAGCCATCCCCAAAGAGGATGACCCACCTTGCATCAAGGGCAGTAATCCACTTCGATTTCGTCTCAGACATTCTACGTTTTGGCGTGTTTCTGTTTCATAGATAATCAAGGAAAAGAGACAAGACAGGCGTGGTCTGAGCCGTCCTGGAGCTTTCCAGGTACACAGTCATCCAGTGACACCTGAGGACAGGGTCTGAAGGAGGCGGCCAGAGTTTCAGAGAGCACGCCATCCGAGGCCGCAGAGGAGAGGTCAGGAGAGCTTCTCCTCGTCGGGAGGATGGGAAATGTCTTTACCACCTTTGAGAGCGGAAGCGGGGCCTAACCCTAACCCTAGCCCATGCTGGTCAGAGCACTTTGAGAAGATCAGTTGTGGTGATGTGAAGGGTAAGTCTATACTTTTAAACTTCTCATTTCTCGGAGCTGCCTTCGGACCAGACTGTGGAGTTTGGGGAGGAGGCCCCGTGTCCCCTCCACGGCCAAGTGCTTGGGGTTCACAGCCTGCACAGCTGCTTTGAGCCCCAGTGCCTGGGACAGGTTTCCCTCGTGCTCTTTTCTCCTTTCTAAAGTGAGCTCATAGGTCACTGAAGGGCCTCGCTGCCCCTCTAGCATCTGTTTGGGGTCTTTGTTTGGCCGTAGACCTCGTGTTTTGTGTTTTTTTTTTTCCAATAAATTTATTTATTTTTGGCTGCGTTGGGTCTTCATTGCTGCACAGGGACTTTCTCTAGTTGCGGTGAGCAGGGGTTATTCGTCGTTGCGGTGCGCAGGCTTCTCACTGCAGTGGCTTCTCTTGCTGTGGAGCACGAGCTCTAGGTGTGCGGGCTTCAGTAGTTGTGGCACGTGGGCTCAGTAGTTGTGGCTCGTGGGCTCTAGAGCACAGGCTCAGTAGTTGTGGCGCACGGGCTTAGCTGCTCCGCAGCATGTGGGATCTACCTGGACCAGGGCTAGAACCCGGGTCCCCTGCATCGGCAGGCGGATTCTTAACCACTGCGCCACCAGGGAAGCCCCTGTAGACCTCGTTTATCCATTCAACCCTTTGCCCACTCTTTCATTTAATTCAGTATCCATCTACTGATGCCAGGCCCTGTGGGGGCCCAGAGGCACGGGTCCAGCCAGCAAGAACGCATCGCCTGGTTGGGGAGGTGAAGTGTCCACATCACCTCAGAACAGGGGGCTAGTGACACGTGCTATGGGGGAAGCCGCAGGTTCAGGGGGCTTCAGGAACGAGGGTTGGTGCTGGATGGGTGTCTGGGGCAGCTCGGGGGACGGGCTGCGTTCACACAGAGCTGAGGACGGAACGTGGCAGCTGGGGGTGGCAGCGAGGGGGGGGGCCCAGAGGTATGTTTGGGGAGTGAGCTTCCGGAAGAGAGCGTAGGCGCAGGGTGGGTGGGCTGAGGCTGAAGGAGCGGGTGGGCAGCAGTCACGGCGTGACCTGGATCACCCTGCGAGGGTCCTGGATTCAACGCCATAGGCTCTGAGGTGCCGCCGTGCCTTTCCCGAAGCTGGAAAAGTGTCCCCATGACTAACGCAGGGACCCCTTGGCCCTCACAGCCTGGCATGTCTCTAATTCTATTCCCAGCCCGACTTGGTGGAAATGCGACCTGTTACATTGGAGGGCCCCAGCCTGGGGCCTCTTGGGTGTCTTATTTTAGTCCCAGAGGAGCCAGGCTGCCTGGGAGATGCAGGCTCAGCTCCCCCCGGGATTAACAAGCGCTCCCTTCATCGCCCCCCTCGCGTTGCCGTGCCTGGGAGGAGGGGCACATTTAGACTTTGGCTCAGAGCCGGCAGCTTCCTGCAGCTGCCAGACAGACCGTGGCAGCCTCAGGACCCGCGCAGGCAGGAGCGTGGGCCGGGGGACCTCGGGTCAGCCCGCCTCACCCCTCACTCACCGTCAGTCATGAGGAGAGAACGTCTCAACTTGCATTGTGTCAGACCCAGCAGGGGAGAACGGGTTCCGCAGACACCTGGATCCACCCTCAGCTCCGGTCTGTAAGCAGGTGGCAGACAGGGGCTCCCTCTCTGAGATCCTTCCTAGCTTCCGCAACAGTCTAGGGGAGCCACTAGGTCCAAAGGGCGTTTCCCCCAACGGGACAATCGGAGTGGGGCTAGTGGAGGATTTGGGAGAGACGTCACCCTTGTCATCAGCAACACGAGCAAGATGGCGCCCGTTTCAACGGGGCTGGACCCCGGCTTAGTGTGCCCCGGGGGCCTGGGCTCTGTGGTGCAAGCTCCCGCCCCCAGGCGGTGGGGTTCACACAGAGACGATTTCCGTCCCCAAATTCCGCCTCTTTAAACCTGGAACCTAGAGATCATAGTCTGGTAAACAGAGGCATCTCCCGAGGTCCTAGACTCTACAGATCTTGTGCTGAGACAGGTGGGCTGGGGCAGGAGATGGGGAGAGAAGGGCGGGCCATGGCCTGGCACTCAGCCCATCCTGAGGCTCTGATGGACCCCTGGGGTATGCCCGTGGAGCCCCTTGCTCTGGGAATGGGTCTCTCACAGAGTGCCCCCGCACTTGCCAGTGGCTGCATCGCATGGCCCTGCCCCAGCCAGGGATCCTGGGCACACATCCAGCCCGAGCTGGACCAATCAGATGTACTCTCAGGGGTTTGGATTTTGGATCAGAAGCAGAGGAGACCCAAGGGCAAAGAGACTTTGGGGTGCTCACGAATAGGGAGTTCTTGGTGGTCCACGAGGCCACCTACGGAAGATTCTCCCCTTTTCAGTCTTGGCTGTTAATCTCGTTTAATCCCTTGGGACCCTCCACACACTCCCAGTAAAGTCTTCCTTTGGGATTAAGTCAGAAGAAGTTGGTTTTTTGCCTGCAGGAGAGCTTGACCCACAACAAGCCACACCTTCATCAGAGATTCCAACCCAGTTCTCGAGGGCCCAGGTCATACTTCATTCCTCAGGGCAGGTCTGTGATGCTTTTACGAGATGTGAAAATGACTGCAGGTCTCTGGGCGACCACGCAACCCCGGGGAGAGAGGGTAGAGGATACCGGGGGACAGCAATGCCGAGCGTCAGCCCTCAGGTTCCCACGTGGAAGCACGTGGCCTGTGAATTTCAGCCTGTTGAGATCACCGTCACCTGGGAAAACGCTCGCTGGGCCGGTCAGTTGGTCGTTTCCTTTCTCCTCGTCTGTGAAGTGGGATCCCCACAGACCTGGCGCCATTGCCTTGAGGAATAAGGGGAGAATGTGTGACCAGCACGGACAACGTTCCCATTCGTGGTGGCTTCTCCTCCATCTCTATAAAACAGAGCCTTCCTACCTGCTGGTGGCCCACGAACCAAGCCCTCGACCCAAATCTCCTCCCACATACGTGCTGCTTTTTCAAGGAACGCCTGCTGTGAGGACCCCAGAGCCCCACCTCACAGCCCAGCTCCCTGGCGCTCGGCCGCAGGCGGGACCCCGGCCTCCCTCTCTCACCATCCGTGTCCCTTGTCTCACTCTCCAGCCTCACACCTCCTTCAACCCTTCGCTCCGGGGCTGCCAGGATTTTCCAGGCTTCCTGCCGAGATTCCTAATTGAACGGAGCCGGGGAGATTTCCCCGAGAGCTCGTTCTCTCTCCTAACACAGGGAAATGGGTGTGCACTTATTGTCTCTGTGATTTTTCTACTTGAATCTGCTTGATAACTGCTGCTTGGATGACATCTCAGTACCAAGGTTCAGGGTTTTTTCTTCTTGTTTCTTCCCTTTAATGAGCAAATATGAAGCTCCAAGGGGCAAAGCAGCTCGCTGCAGGTTGCAGGCTTTTCTGCGGTTTTGGCTCTGTGGATCTCTGGAAAGTTACGTTCCAATAACCTGAGAGTTTTAACTGAAGGGCTTGGGTGAGGGAAGGAGAATCATAGTGTGGAATTATAAACTTCTGGAAGGAACCCTTGGGACCATCTACTTCACCTTGTTCACTTTACACATAAAGAACCTGATGCCTGGAGAGACGAAGGGCCGTTTCTACGGCGACAGGCTGGTTGGTGCCAGAGTCAAGCCTAGAACCCTGGTCTCTGGACTCCAAGTTCAATGCCATTTGGCCCATAGCCCCCACTGCCTGCTCTGGTGCAAGGGTTCACAACCAGGGAAGACTTTGCCTTTCAGGAGACAATGTCTAGAGACAGTTTTGATTGTCAGAACTTAGCGGGGAGGGAGGATTGGTGCTACTGGCCACTAGTGGGTGGAGGCCAGGGACGCTGCTAAACACCCCACAGTGCACACAGGACGGCCGCCCCAGCCAACAAGGAACGATGCCGCCCAAAACATCAGTAGTGCTGTGGTTCATGATGTGCAGGTGGCCGGCACAGAGCTGAATCCTCCCTTCCCAAGCCCACGGCAGACACTGCTGATCCATAACGGTAGTTTTCTCCTTAATCCCCGTCTAAAGTCTTCTCAATGCAGTGTTCCATGCAGGGGCTACGAGTCGAGATGATACCTTTCGATCATCCCAAGGCTAGATACCATGGAGACGGTAGGTTCTGAAGTCATTCTGCTGGGCTGAGTCCTGGCTCTGACGTCACCTTCTAGCTGTGTAATCTTGGGTCCTAATTAATCTCTCCGTGCCTCGTTTTCCCCATCTGTGAAATGGGGATCATCGATGGGAAAAACTTCAGAGGGCTGTTTGGCAGATTAAACAAGTTAATGCAGTCTGTAAATGTCACCGTGCCTGGGACAACATGTAAGCTGTTATTATGATAATCAGCCCTGCTCTAGTGACAAAGAGGCAGCTGGTCCTATCACAGGGGAGCAGGCCAGTTCTCTTCTTTGTCCTCATATGCCCCTGACGTTGCAGCTCAGAATGTGCAAAGCCCCCCGACCCTTAGAAGGCCCAGCAAGATGACTGCTGCCCCCTAGGCCCATGGCCAATGGACCGACAGACAAGGGCTGGCTTCCCCTGGGCACCGACTCCCTGCAAAGCCCTGTGCTAAGCTCTTTCCATTTTCTCATTTACGCCTCAAAATAACCTATGAAATAGGAGCTGTTAGGAACCTATTTTACACACAAGGAAGCCGAGGCTCTGAGAGGGCAGGTAACTTCCCCAAGGTAGCACAGCCCCAAGCAGCTGAGCCGGATTCTCACCTGCCCTGGGCTGACTCCGGAACCGGGGCCCCAGTGCCATGTCCTGAAGGCGCACACCTGCCGACCACCAGCATTTTCTGACAGTCTGGGCAGGGCTGGGGGCTGCAGGGGGTGCATATCCGCTTCCTGAGTCTCCCCAAGTTGCGAAGAGCTCCTCCTGGGCAGCCAGAGACTGGGTTCAAACCCAGTTTTCAAGACCGGCACCTGCAGTCCAGAGTGCCAGGTTCAAATCCTCCCTCACCTGCTGGAACTGGGGCTGCCGGGGCACTTGGTCAGGAGACACCGAGTCGTGGGCTTAGACCGGACTCGCAGTACCTGGGCTACTGAGCCACACCCAGCGCCCATCCCTTTGTCGCCAACCCCCAGAGCGCCCAACGTCCGGCCTGTGCCCGGTCCACTGTCGGCGACTTCCCAGGGAAGGAGTCATGATTTTGGACCCTGTTCCTTCCGTTCTCTTTGGAGCCAGAGGGAGCGTGTCCATCCCATTCCCGCCCCTCCCACCGAGGACTCCCGATGCTGGCAGAGCAGCTGTGGATGCCCAGCCCCCCAGCCCCCCTCAATTCAACTCTGCACCCACGCTCTGGGGCCTGCACGTGCCAGGCCCCCGGCGGTGCTGGGCTACAGCGGGGCATCGGCCAGATTCCCTGACTTGGCACCAGCGTGGTGGGGAGCCTGTAACGGGGTCAGGAAAGCTGCCCAAGGAGCTGGCACTCGAGCTGAGCCCTGAAGGGTGAGCTGGAGTTGGCACCACGAAGGCAGCGTGGACGCTCCAGGCAGAGGGAACGGCACTGCCAAGGCCCAGAGGCGAGAGGTCAGGAGGTCGGGGTGCATCTGAGGAGGTGAGAGGAGGCCAAGCGGTGTCTGGAGGCGGAGGCCGGGGAGGAGATGGGAGGCTGCGGGTCCTTGGGGTCAGAGGGAGCCTTGGAGAGTGTTCGACCAGCCATCAGGTGGGATCCTCAGAAGGTCTGTCCCTCCCCAGGAAGGGGGACAGGGAGGCAGCTGGAATCCAGGCTCTGGGACAAAGTCTCACTTGAGGTTACCCGCTGGTCTGGGGCAGAGAGGGGGGATGCCCCGCCCATCTTCAGAGTCACCCCCCCCACCCCGCCTCCCGGGGAAAGCAACCTTGGCTCAGGGACACTGGCGCCCTCTCACAGTGGCCTTCCCAGGCTGCTGTGCCCCCTTCCCCCCCGCCCCCGCTGTGCCCAGACTCAGGGCCTGGAGGACTTGGCCACCAGCCCTCACTTGTCCTGTGCCCCTCCCAGCGGGTCCCAGAGGCCACGCCCACACCCTGTCTCTGTTGCAGGCTCGGTTTCCAGGGCAGGTGCCCCGCCCCGGCCCCAGGCCCTTTCATTCCCAGGCACCGCTCACCTTCGCTCCCATTCCTCCAGGAGGCTTGGAGCTGAGGCCTGGGGCTTTTGCTCACATGAAAGTAAACAAACTGTAAAAGCCAGCTTCCCTCCCTCCAGGGCCCAGCAGGGCTGGCGTGGGGCGTTGGTGGGCCAGGACACAGCAGGTACAGGCCGGCTGGGAGCGACAGGATGACAGAGAAAGCCCCGGAAACAGAGCGGAACAATTGTGTGAGTCAAGCAGTCCATTTACGGGGAGGATACAAGTTAACGGGAAGCCGTAGTGCAGCAAGAGAAATGCTGTCGAGAGAACGAAGAAAAGGAGGAGAGGCTGGGAATGCAGCGGGATTCTGCTCAGAGGGAGCCCGGGGTCAGGCTGGGGAGCAGTCCCAGCCGTCGCCTCATTAGGAAGCAGTCAGTGTTTGGACATAACTCAATTCTATCTCATCTCCAGCTTCTCAATCTATTACTCACCACTCCGTCCCAGGCCCACTGAAAGTCGGGGGGCGGGGGCGGCCCTCTCCTTACATCATCTACGGAAAGCCCTGCTCCCCAGAGGGCGCCCTGTCAGACAGCCTGAACCTGGAGCCTCCCCCAGCCTAACAGTTTGCAGGTGCTCTAGTTTTGACACGGGACAGAAGTCTGCAGAGGGGACCCTCGGGGGTCAAGCAGCTGCTCCCCTGCTAACTACCCCCATTACCAGGACAACTACCACCATCCCCAGTAGCTTAGTCCTCGCTACAACCCTCTGCTGTGGGGGCTGCGATTATCATCGACTCCATTTTACAGATGAAAAAACTGAGGCTCCAAGAGGTTAAGTGACTTGCCCAGTGCTGCCCAGAGCTGGCATTAGGACGCAGGCAGCCATCCCTCAAATCCTGAAACCACTCAGCCCTACCGCCATCCACACACACTTTATATCAGGGGTCCCCACCCCCCCAGTACCGGTCCGCGGCCTGTTAGGACCTGGGCCGCACAGCAGGAGGTGAGCGGCAGGCGAGTGAGCGAAGCTTCATCTCTATTCACAGCCGCTCCCCTTCGCTCGCATTACCGCCTGAGCTCCGCCTCCTGTCAGATCAGCAGCGGCATTAGATTCTCACAGGAGCGCGAACCCTACTGTGAACCGCGCACGCCAGGGATCTAGGTTGCGCGCTCCTTGTGAGAATCTGATCCCTGGTGGTCTGAGGTGGAGCTGAGGCGGCGATGCTAGCGCTGGGGAGGGGCCGCAAATACAGATTCTCATTAGCAGAGAGGTTTGACTGCACAGAGACCATATACCAATTGCTTGCAGACTCATATCAAAACCATCCCCCGACCCAGTTCGTGGAAAAACTGTCTTCCATGAAACCGGTCCCTGGTGCCAAAAAAGGTTGGGGACCGCGGTGCTAGATAATACTTACACACAGGCACCAGCTGGACCGGCAGGGGCTGAGGGAGGCCCAGCCGGCCCCGGGCCATCGCAGGAGGGCTGCCTCTCACTGGCTTCCGTTTCAGGCAGGTACCAAGTGGACCGAGGTGATGGGTGTGTCTCTTGGGAATGTGTGCAGGAGGGTCCTGGGGGAAGCAAAGCCCCAGGGGGAAAAGGATGCAAACGAAAGGGACCTGGAGACTTGGAGCAGGACGCACAGAGGGGACCGGGTGGGTCCCCAGGCCGGGCCCCAGGTGAGCCCAGGCCATGCTGCTGCTGGAAAGGCGCTGCCTCCCTGTGGGGACACTCAGGAGGCACAGACCGGAAGGACCAGAACCCATCGGGGCTCAGGAAAGCACGGAAACGTGCCTCTGAGACCTGACCCTGGGGACGCCCAAAGCAGGGGCCTCGGGATGGACGCGCCCCCCCACCCGCCCCCCCGGGACACTCTGTCCAGAGGAGCCCTTGAGTGTCCTGGGCCCTGACCAGTCAAGGGCATGGCTCAACACCCCTGACCCTGGTGGCTCCTCCCGGATGGGGCTCCCTTCCTGGCTTCCGTGGCCCTCCTCTCCCGCGCTCTCTTGATTTCCTCCAGATGGTCCTTCTCGGGCTCTTTCTCGGCCTCCTCCCTTGGGGGTGGCGGCTGGAGTTTCTCTGCTGCCCTCACTTCCCATGCTCACAGGCCCCGGGCGACCTTCCACCGCTCTGGGGGCTCTGGTCCCCCATTCATCCACAGCTTCTCGAACTTCAGACCCAGCCTGCAGCAGCAGGTGGACACTGCCACCCAGACGTCCAACAGGGACCAGACCCTGCCTGGCTCGCGCCAGACCATCGCCCTGCCCTGGGCGACCCTCGTCCTCCCCGTCTTCCTGCCCCCGCCCGCTGGGGGGCCCCTCCTTCTTCCTGCCTGCGTTTCATCCGTCAGCCAGTCTTACAGCAGTTTCACCTCCGAAGACCCCTCCCCGCCTGCACCCCCACGGCCTTCCCCTAACGGGCACCCTTGTACAGCCTCCCTCGAAACTTCCTGCCACGGGGACTCTGGCCCCAGCGCTGTCGGCGACTTTCGGCGCCCCCAGGATGGGGTTCGGGCACGGCCGCCACCTTGGGCAGCTGCCTCTGGGCCCTGCGTCCCCTGCTGGCCGCACCCTCCGGCAACTGCACAGGGGTCCTCGTTCCCGTCACGCTCCGTCGAGCCCTGCTCCGCTTCCGGCTCTCCCTGGCCTGGAGTCTCCCCCCACTCCCCCTTCCACCTTGTACACTCCCCAGGTCATCGGAGCCAGCGCCGCCCCTTCCCAGAAGCCCTCCTGGACCTGCTTCCCTTCCCTTTTGTGCAGCCATAATGCTCTGCGCACTCCCCTATCACTGCTGTTTTCTGCATTGTATTGAAATTGTGTCTCCCCCGAGCCAGAAGGCCAGAAGGTCTGAGACTTATCTGTCTTTGAACCTCCAGCTCCTGTTCCCAGGTGCCTGATTCATGTCGGCGAAATGGCACTGAACTTCTGCCGCCAAAAGGCTCTTCCATGGGGCTGGGGAACTCAGGGAGCACTGCTCTCTCCCGCCCCCCTGGTTCCAGGTCAACGTGGGAAGGTGGAGAGAGCACCCATGCTGCACTGCCCTCTGTCTTCCCCTCCAGCGAAGCCCCCAGATTGCCCCATAACAAGTCCTGAGAAGCAGTGGGGGGACGTGTGCAGTGTCTGCTCAAGAGACGCCAGTGAAAGCGCTGCTGTCATCGACCCTCCTGGGCCAAGACTTCACCGCAGGAAGCGCGAGCCCAGGGTAACATGATGGATACGACTGTTCTAGAGGAGGATCCCTGGAGATCCGCATGACTGTTCTAGAGGAGGATCCCCTGGAGATCCGTCCTCTGAGAACCACAGCTGGGATCCAGCATGACCGGCTGTCAGACAAGCTCCATTTTAATCCGCTCCAAAACCAAAGGTTGAAGTGAGAGCTGCAGGAAAAAGGAAAAACTCCGAGGTCTGTCTGGATCCCATTTTCAACACAACACACACTGTCCTAAATCCTAGAGTCTTGATGTTTCAGAAGAAACACTGGCCCCCACGGAGAGGCGTGGACTCACAAATCCCAACCCTGGCAGGTCTGGAAGGGTCTGGTCCTCCCACCCTGCCGTCCCCATGCCTCCCCTTTCTCAGCCGGCACCGTGAGAAGCCGCCCCGGGATGGCAGGGCGCGGGTCACTCAGGGAGCCGTTTACCGCCCCCCCCCCGCCCCCCGCCCCGTTGAGACCCGGATCCAGAAGCAGGAACGGCACATCCCTCGGCGCCTGGCAGGACCGCTCCTGTCTGTGGACAGAAGCCCGCGACACCCACTTCCAGGCTTCAAGTAGGAAAATGAAGCTCATTCAGGTGCCTCGACCCAGGACAGCACAGCCGTGGAGGCCTGAATATTTTAGATCTAATGCCTCTGAGTTATGGGCTTTATACCTTTAGATATCAGAATAAACTTGATTTGAAATCGGCCTCAGGGGAAATTTGTTAAAGAGAAATAAAGATGTTAGATGGAGCCTAAGGTACTTTGCAAAGTCGCTCTTGCCACCGGCGCTCACGAGGCCATGAATCTCCGGATAATCTGGCGGGGGCGGTGGGGGGGGACTATTCCCGCCCCCCTCGTATCGATGCCCCGACTCCCCCATTCCTCACCACCCCCCATCCTGGAAATACCACTTCTTCACTCACCCTCTGCCCCCTGTCGGCCTCTGAGAAGGAAGGGAAGCCGAGAGCTGGGCGTGCGGCCCTGGACACGCTGCTGTTCTACTTACGGTCCCCATTTTACAGAGGAGGAGACTGAGGCGCCAGGAAGTGCTATGAAGAGCAAGTGGAGAGAGCCAGGACTTCAACTCAAATCTGGTTCCAAGGTGCATGCTTTCTACTGACATGACACCCAGCTCAGGGCTCACCAGGACCCGGCCACTGGAGGAGCCAATTTGGCAGTCAGCTGAGTCTATTACTGTTCGTACTCAGCAAGTGGTTTAGCTCCTCTGTGCCTTGTTTTCCTGCCCCAAACGGCCTGGAAAACCCCAGGCCCCGCCTCCGCGGGTGAGGATGAGGTGAAGCACGGAAGGCCATCCGCACAGGGCCTGATGTGGCTTCTCCACGTGCGCCTGCCCTGAGAGGGAAAGCACTTTGTAACGTTAGCCCCAACCTTAAAAGGCTTTTGTCCTCGACGGACGGGACGTGCCCAGCTGCCTGTGTGTGGACAGGTGTGTGGGTGAGTGGGTGCCCGGAAACTCCAGCTGGACGACCAGTGCGGGGGTGGTGGACAGACAGGCATGTACCGCCCAGGGCCCAGCCCAGCCCCAGTGGGAGAGAGAAGCTGCCTTCTTCTCCAAGTGCATGCGCTTTGCTCTGCGCGGACAGGCACTTCGGGTGTGACCTGCAGGCAGGAGCAGACGGGGCAGATGACAAGGCCCCGGGAGCAGGCGGCCTGGCCTGCCCAGCCTGTCAGAGCCACGAATGCCACGAGCCCTAACTCACAGGCTGCTGCCAACGCTCATCAATAAATGATGGAAAACCACTCAGCAAATGCCGAGCCTGGAAGCGGTGCAGTGCGGCCCCCATGAACCCAGCCAGGCAGCCTCTGGGCTGTGAGGCCGGCACGAGATCTCTCCTGACCAGTCCACGCCCGGGCCGGCGACCCCAGGCCAGCTGCTGACACGTGGGGCTGCTGGACGCAGGGGTGGGCATCCCCTCGGGGGTCTCCCTGCGGAAGTTAGAGGCAGCCAGGTTCTGAGGGCTCCGTTTGCTGATGGGGTCAGGACTGCGGCTGCGGTCAGAAAGGTCAGCCAGCATGCTTTCCAGATGTCTGGGGAGCCGGAGAACAGAGAAAGGAGAGGGAAGACCCACAGTCCTTGCTGGGAGACCCTACCTGGCCTGGGGTCTGGGGGCAGTGAGGTTACAGGGCCAGCAGGCTGGCTTCGGCCAGGAGGCACCCCCGATTCCATCCAGAGAGCCCGGCCCTGTTTCAGCGCCACAAGCCCCCATCCCTGTCCCCATGTAACTGGATTTAGGAAGACCTCCTGGGGGACAGCGGGCTCTGCCCAGCGGGGCGCATGTAACTTTCCGGGCCCCTGAACCTTCTTTCATAAAGGGCCTCCTGGTGTCTCCACAGACAAGGACCCCATCTTCCGGAGGGTCCTGCGTGAGTCACGTTTCCACCTACGGCCCAACTGAGACAGAACCAGATTTCGTTGGGACCTGAAGTTTGTGTAATTAGACAGGCCCTCTTAAAGAAAAAGAACACACAATTACAAATACACAGAATCCGGGACTGGGGGGTGCCCTGCAAGGGAGGACCGGAAGCTTTGGCTTCTGAAGCCTCAGGGTAAGCCTACTTCGCGCTGATCTTGTCAAGAGAAAGCAATGCAAACACCACCGCCCCCTCCCAGCTGTCACCTGTTCAGGAAGCCCCCACTAGACCGGTGGTCTCTACGTCAGGCAAATGCACAACGAGTGATCACGCAGGAGGAAAGACACCTGCCACCACCTCCCCGCTGCCACTGCCTGGCTCGGCGCCTGGAGGGGACAGCGCCCGTCCCCCTGTGGGGTCAGGCCTCTGGGAAGAGGGGAACCAGGCTTCACACTGCACAGGGAGGAAAGCCTCTCCAATGTGTCTGTTCTGTTCGGGGATCTCATTTCAGCTTCACTTTTCCAGACAAAGCTGCCGTGAGTCTTACTGTCTGGGAGCAGGGGAAGGGGCAGCAGAAACTCAGAGACACTCAGGCCTGAGATCAGGCTGGAGCCCAGCCAGGCCTTCTGGCTCCGGGGGCCGGGGGCCTTCCACGTGCTCTGCCCAGCCCATGTTTTCCTTTGTGAAGGAGACACCCTTGC